GAAAGTTTATGTTGGAAAAAAGTGGATGGATACAAGTAGAGACTGCATGTTTTTATGCAATATTTAAAATATTTTGCTAAGAAATATCTCAAAGATTTTTTATTATGATTTTTTTATATATAAATATTACTGTGTTATTAAATGTATTAAATTATAGTAAAAATATTTTCTATCTGGGCCATTTGAAAAATTCCTTTGTCTTTAGCCCTTTATGAGTCAAAAAATTTCATCCATAATAGTCTTAAAATGTCTTAAATTCTTAACATTTAACTTGGTGAAACCTGCAGATACAGTAAGTGGTTAAGAAAGTGGTTAGAGTTACATTTTCTCCATTTTTTGTACTTTGTTGAATAAAAGTTGAAAATTCTTACTGATAGTAAACCTTAGGTGTGTGTGTGTGTGTGTGTGTGTGTGTGTGTGTGTTCTGCATGCTGAAAGATAAGCCTCATCACAGTCTTGCAGTTTACAAACATTTGCAGTCAGCGACATCAATATCTAGTTGGTGGGGAAAGGTACATCAGGAGTGAAGTTACACGCCACATAAGGTACTCAGCGACCCAGAACAAAACTCTTAATAGTTTCCAGATGAGCCTCTGGAGTTAATCTCAGACAGTAGCAGTCACGTTTTTTTCATCCAACTTCAACCGGACATAGTAATAACTGTTCATATAAGTGTGTGTGTGTCTGTGAATGAGAGAGAGGAAGGTCATTAGTTTCTCTGTGTGTGTCTGGTAGCCTATTGTTGTGTGTGTGTGTGTGTGTGTGTGTGTGTGTGTGTGTGTGTGTGTGTTTGTGTGTGTTTGTGTGTGTTTGTGTGTGTTTGTGTTTGTGTTTGTGTGTGTTTGTGTGTGCGTGTGTGTGTGTGTGTGTGTGCGTGTGTGTGTGTGTTGAGAACGGGGCTTGACATTGAGTCAGTATTAAAAGGGAGTCCCGGGGCTTCCAGAGCTAAATTTCCAATTAGAGCCTCATTTACACCTGCTGATATGTGTGTGTTTCTGCATCACTCTTGGCTACAGATGTAAGTAAATGTGAAGACATTAAAAGTGCATTTGTTGATTTTAGGGCATAAAGGCTCGAGTGCTAGAGACGTTTGTCATGCTCTTTCTGCTGGGTCTCCTCATCCTGGGCATCGTATGGGTGGCGTCTGCTCTCATTGACAATGATGCTGCCAGCATGGAGTCACTTTACGGTATCTGCCTTAAACCTTCTGGTCCTCCTACTGCTGTGGATGTATATGATATAATCTGTTATGTACTGATCAGTGGTTTACACTTCTGCTCTTATTCTGTCGTTGAAGATTTATGGGAGTTTTATCTGCCGTACCTCTACTCCTGCATCTCTCTGATGGGTGGCCTCTTGCTGCTCAGTAAGTTCATAAGAAGCCATAACACGATCATGCTGCACGATTATGGCAATAATCATAGTTGTCGATTATTCCATTAAAATTGTTATAGCAATTAATTACGATTATCACAATGCATATTTGTTAATTGTTGAAATAGCTTTGTACTATTGTTTGAAGCGATTGCCTTCTACAATGTTTTATATAATAATAATAGTAGTAGTAGTAATATTGCGTTTCTTCTTACTGCAAATGTCAATGTTACATTGGTTTTGTTTTTTTTATAAAAAAAAAAAGGAAAAGAAATGCAAAATGCATGAAACTAAATAATATAATCAAAAACAATACTAGATACTGAATGCACAATTAATTCCACATTGGACACATTAACCTATTTGTTAGATTTAGAGTGAGTTGCTGATGTCGTTGTTCTTGTTGTTGTTGTTATTATTATTATTATTAATATTATATCCTTCATTTTACCAAGAAAGTTGCGCATTGAGATAAAATCTCTTTTACAATTGTGTCCTGGCAAAGATTAACAGTACACATGGGTTCAACAAAATAACAAATAACATTATTAATCCACCAATACACAAAATTACAAATTTTTTTAAATTAAAAGCTAGTCAGAACATCTACAAACTATAGATTGTAAACTATAAATGACAAATTTGCAAATTATAAATTGTTTAAAATATATATTTTTAAGTATATTGTAAAACCAACTCTTTAACCTGCAATCTAAATTGCAGGTTATTCCTGCCTTTTTTCCAGTATTTTTTCTATTTTTGTGCAAACCAATGGTAAAGACAATTAATAAATTTAAATTCCTGTGACCAGCTGTAACTAGAGAATTCGTTTTTACAAAAAAGAAAGTGAGCTCAATTCTGAATTTAAATCGTAAAGATTTGTTTCGTAACACACAAGAAAAAATAGTTAATATGATCCATCTTTACAGTGAATGTATGTAAAACTTTATTAAAGTTTTAATATAATATATAATAATATAATGTAATGTAATGTAATAATATAATATAATATAATATAATATAATATAATATAATATAATATAATATAATATAATATAATATAATAAGTTTAAAGAGTTGTTATTGACAATTAAAGTTGTGCAGAAATATGACACAAAGTTTTCTTCCTCACTTTTAACAGGAGAACATTCATAATATTGCCTTTTGAAAAGCATAATTGAATGTGCGTTTGTGATTTAAATCTCCCTGTTGTCTTCTCTCATCAGTGTGTACTCCAGTGGGACTGTCACGCATGTTCACAGTGATGGGCCAGTTACTAGTCAAACCCACAGTAAGTACCGTTACACTGTATATTGGGGTTTTGCATTGGGTTGTCATAGGAAATAGCCACCAAGTTGGTTCCCCAAGAACTCCCCTCTGGCTATGTTTCTGGTTGTATTCTCGTTGTCACTAGCTATGTTTCCATCCATTTATTTTTATGCGCATTTTGCATATGCGCATTAAAAGCGGTTAATGAAAACGCCATGATGTTCATAAGTTTTAAAAATGATCAAAAACTTTGCGCATAACTGAGTAGGATAAACTTTTTATTCAATAAGAAAAGATAAACGTAAACTACGATGGAAACACTTTTACCGCAAAAATTTAGTATGTGTATTAAAAAAGGTCATGTGATTTTGAGATCATGTGGTGATGGGAATGTGTGTAAATGGACAAACCAGCAGGCTGAGCACATAGTAAAACATCTTAAATGTTGTTTTGGTCATTCTAAAACGCCTTACTGTTTAAGTATTTGTGTGATTATATTATTAATGACCTCCAGAATCAAGAGTGTCTGTGATCCGCGTCAGACACCTTCAAACGCCACCGCAAGTTCACTGAGTGTCAGGATTGCCTTCTGAGGCACAAGTCATTTATTAGATGAAGAAAAGATTGACGCAGCTTCTTCTACTACAGCAAATTCAGTTTTTACTGTGGATATTTGGCGCCAGTTAATCAGGAAGTGATGATTTTGTTCGCTTTGACTCGTTGAATGGAAACGCTGCTTTTTTCGTTAGTCTTTTGAGCGATAATCCAGTTTTGCGCATAAAGTTCATTCGCATTTTTGGATGGAAACATAGCTAATGAGTACTGACATATGCTGGTCAACAGCATCATCAATTGTAGCATTCAAAATGTAACAAAAACTTGCTGATGGAGGATGTTGTGAATGAAGTTTTGTGATCACAGAGATGCGGTGCAGACATCATGTGATTTTAAAAGAGCAAAAAACAGGGCTAAGAGAGAAACTCTACTTTTAGTGTTGCATATCATCTAGACTAAGCAAAGAACAGCAGTCAAAGTCAACAGGTAACTGTTGCTAAGATTAACTTTCTGTAATGTCATTATGAAATGACACTTTAAAATACTTATAAATGAGTTATCAAATGCCATGAATTAAAAAGCTGTTCCTAAAACTAAGAATATTCCTGGTTTCTAGGTAGTGAACATGCCAAAAAGTGAGCACTTCTGTCAGTAGTTATCAAAAGCTATGAAAATATTCCTCTGGTGTGAAAACCCCTTGAGAGTGTGTATATTTGCATTTGTTAAAGATACAATCTATCATTCTTTTTGCCTGTGTAGATTTTAGAGGATCTGGATGAGCAGATTTATTGCATACAGCTGCAGGAAGAGGCCTTGGAGCGAAGACTCAATGGTGAGTGTTTGTTTGTTTTTTTGAATGATGAGAAATGATGTTTTTTATTTTTTTATTTTTCCAGGTTTACTCACATTTTTTATGTGTGTCCTGCATGACGACAGATTATTTGCTTCTAGCATTGATTTTGCTAAAATAAGCAAATATGTATGTGTGTGTGTGTGTGTGTGTGTGTGTGTGTGTGTGTGTGTGTGTGTGTGTGTGTGTGTGTGTGTGTGTGTGTGTGCGTGTGCGCGTGTGCGTGCGTATATATGTGTGTGTGTGTGTGTGTGTGTGTGTGTGTGTGTGTATATATATATATATATATATATACATTAGGGATGTAACTGTATTGTAAATACCGTCATACCGCAATATTAATTTTTTTCGATATTACCGAAGTCGCATGACTCGGTAAAACTATAGGTCTTCTGAGAAAATTTGCTCAGGCGAATGAAGCGAACGGGACGTAGCTGAAACTACATTTCCCATCAGCCCAGGCGTGGCCATAATCCTTTGCGGTCTGTTGTCGCTACAGATCCAGTAATGCGGAAATGGAGTGTGCTGCTAGTAGCGGAGATGAAAAAAAGATGGAAATGTTCGAACCTAAAGCGGGTGTAGTCGCCGCGCGCGTGCTGAATAGCGTTGTTGTCGCGCGCGTTCTGATCAGCTGTGTTGTGACGTGCGTATTGTAAAGCGCCGAGGGGGGGTTGAGCGCGCATATTCAAGAGAGGTGTTGTCGCGCGCCTACTGAAGGGCTGGACGGAGGTTGTGTCGCGTCGCGGGGGCACTTTTGATCGTTTTGGAAGGGCATTTTCTATCCAAGACTAAAAAGGGCATGCGCACTGCACAGGTTGAGCCCTATGTGTGCACGTGCCTGCAAGTTGGGGAATACGACTAATAACAGTCATGGGGACAGCAGAAACACAGCACACTGTTCAGATTGATGCAGACATTGACTTGTACCGCAAAGAGACCTCTATCTCACTCATGGTTTGTCTTCTCAAGTGGGAGAAAGACAATGCACAACGTTACCCCACTGCTGTCAACATGGGCCAAGTCATATCTCTCTTGTCCCAGAAACCTCAGTCCCAAATGAGAGGGTTTTTTTCTTTTGCAGGGGACATTGTAAATACCCAGAGATACCAGCTTTTACCAGATTATAATTATATGATAATTTTCCTTTAAACCCATCTCTATCTAAGTGAGTGAGTGATTAAATGTTGAATGTGGTGAGTTTTCAACAATACTAAATTGAAACTTTATTTTTTTACATGGTTTAATAATTTTTTGTTATTAAAATTGAAGTTAGTGTTTCAAAGCTTACAGATAGATGGCTAATTTGTATGTCATTGACACTTTTGGCACTTTTTTGGAGTATTTACAAAAGTTTTTTTTTTCCTGTAAATGATTCAATAAATACCGTACCGTGACATTCATACCGAGGTATTACCGAACCGTGAAATTCTGATACCGTTACATCCCTAATATACATACATACATATACATGTATGTATGTATGTATGTATGTATGTATGTATGTATGTATGTATGTATGTATGTATGTATATATATATATATATATATATACACACATACATATATATATACACATACAGTACATACTGCGTAAAAGCTTGCTGGATAAGTTTGCGGTTCATTCCGCTGTGGCGACCCCGGATTAATAAAGGGACTAGGCCGACAAGAAAATTAAATTAAATATATATATATATATTTATATAGAAACTGCTGCAACAAAATATGGTTCATTGCCTCATATCTCTATCATAAATCACTCCATGGTTTCCAGTGATCAAAATCAATTAAATAACAAGTAAAATATCAATAAAGTATAATTCAGAATTCATGCATTTGTCTTCGTTTAGCAGGCTTTTATTCCCCTACACAAACATCCACACAAAGCAGGAAGTGTTTAGGCTTAAAATCAAACTAGACTTTAGCTTCAACTCAAGCACGCAACAGAGTGTACAGATGCCAGTCAACATGGAACATGTGCTTTTCTATTGAATTCACGGAGGTAAGCTAGATCATCTCTGCAGATAGTACCCAGTTGCCCAAATCCCATGGATGAATTTCAATAGCCTCTCATTTGGTTGTTTGGTTTTGTTGCGTTAGCACCAAAAGCGGATTTTCTTTGAACACCTGATAAAATAATTGTAATCTGTTTTAACGATTTTCGTTTTTTTGTGATTGCTGTTTGATGTGAAGCGCAGTGGCAGTCACAGTCATCGGGTGACAAAAGGCCACTAGGGATGCGGAATGCGATTTTGGCAAAGCTTAAGAACTTTGCGTTATAGGAAGATCTCGCTCAGGCGTTGAATTTACCTTATCAGGAATTTAAGGAATTTTCACTCTTTTCTTCTTGTGTGCCGTAAATGGGAAAACTGGAGGTGAAGTTTGGGGGAAGAGAGTTCAAGAGGAAACTGTCTACTTTGCTTTTCTCTCTTATCTGTGTTCTATCTAATAACAATTGTTCAACTCACTGTAACTTCATTTAGATCCCACAAGTCTGCACATGCTCTCTTGCAGAACTTTGATGTGTGCTAATTGATAATTATGATGTGTGCTAATTCATTCACTCATTTGCATCTTTAATGACCTGAAGTCATTAATATAGATCGTAGTGAGCATTTACAAATCAATAGTGGATCTGTGCTGGGACCTATTCGCACCTGATGACGTCTAGTCACTTGTGATAATTTTCTAGGTTGTCTGTGATTTTTATCTCATGTCAATGGCCTTGCTTGTTGTTTGTAAAGTAATATTTACCCATAATTGACCTACCATATTTTGGCCAACACAGAGGGCCAGTGATATTTATCTCGTACTAATCTGCATTTCTGTGATTTGGTGGGAATGTATATGTAATTGTTTCTTTTTGTCTATTTATTAATTTTTTTGTGAATTATAAAGGCTGCTTTGAAGAAGTTTGGTAGTGTTGTGGGTGCAGCATCATACCGCTAAAACACTATACAGCTCTACAGTTTGCAGAAAGAAAAAGCCGATTAGCAAAAACAGAAAGAAAGAATAGATGGAGATGTATAGTGTGTAGAGCCACATTTGGAAAGACACATTCTTATGTTTATGATACTTGTTTCTTCATTTATCCATCTAAATGGCCTTGACATTGTACTTTGTTAGAAAGGTCAGTACATTTGAGTAAGGATGGCGGTTTTTGAGTATTACATAATTGTTTTCCCCTTTTGAAATTCAGATGGGGGGCAGAGGAGGGTTTAGGGTTAGTTTAAATTTGTAAATCTCACAAGCTAAAACTTCATTAAACTTAAGTTAAATTTCTAAATCACACACGGTTCCCAGTTAATATTAATTCTGTGCTAATAGTGCTTTAAGGAGTGTTTGTCTGAGTGTAGGGTTTCATACTAGTCTGGGTGCAGGCATTTGTTTGTCCTCTGTCTTGGCTCTTGCTATGCTTTTCTCTGTTGCCCAGATGCGCAGTGGCAGGGTGACCTTGCAAAAACTCTCCTCGGTACCGGATGGCTCTCTGCTTTGCATAATTACCACTGACGTAATGCAGAATCGGCTGAAGTTTCTTTAGAAAACAATGACATCATCTCCTTTCCTTCTGCCAGCACTCCTGCCACTGAGCATCGCCTTTATCACCTTAATTGAAGGACCGAATGCAAGAATTTATTTAAGTGTTTCCTAATCATCTCGAAATCCAGACAGTGGCAGTTCTGAAAATACTGGCTGGTGCTGATATTTACTAGCTATTGGAATTATTAGTCTAATTTTTTTCCTCACCCAAGTCATGTAAAAGAATTTGGAAATCCCAAACATTTGTTATCAGAAATTAGGCTTTTACTATATATATATATATATATATATATATATATATATATATATATATATATATATATATATATATATATGAAAAGTTCAGATTCAAAAGCCGCTAAACGCCTCTTCCTCCAAAAATGAGATACTGACATTAAGTGAATGCTTTAGGGATGTAGTACATGTTCAACAAATATTTTTGCTTCAAAAAATCTAAATCGCAGCGTCAGCGCATTCAGAAATAACAACTGGTTTGCAAAAGCCTATAAAAAATCTATAAAATAAAACTTCTGAACCTAATCTCTCTCTCTCTCTCTCTATCTCTCTCTCTCTCTCTCTCTCTCTCTATATATATATATATATATATATATATATAAATATATATATATATATATATATATATATATATATATATATATATATATATATATATACATATATATATATATATATATATATTTATACATATATACACACACATATACATATTCATTCATTTACATTTTTATATGAGCCGTTTTCATGATTCTGACCAATATGCTGATAATTTGATTTATTTCTATTAAAAACTTATTTGTTTATATTAATGCACTTTTAGATTGCAGATTAATGCAATTCATTGTTTTATTACTGTCATTTACAATACCAAAGAATACAATATTTGAGAAAGTTTACAAAGGCACAAAAAACTGTTGTCTCTAGATCAATACATGCCATTCATCCAAGTTTAAGAGAGTATCAAAAAATGTAGAGCGCTGTTGTTGATATAGGATTTTGAGATAATGATCGTTTTGCTTTCAAAAATGAATGTGAACTTGCATTTGGTTGTTTAGGATAGGTTCAAGTGGGTTTAATATCCTTATTACCTAATAAGGGTAATAATAGTAGAATTATGCTTCCACAATCTCAGTTCTGCAAAGGTCTACTGTACGTACATTATGTGTGATGTAACCTATATGTCTGCACACACTGTCCATGTGTAGTCATGTTTTTCACACATGTCCAAAGAGAATCCACTCACTGGTACTATGCATGTATTAAACTTGGCCATCCAAGAGAAGCTTACCTGTCTAAAAGTGATCTGGGAATTCTGGCAGGTGTCACAAAAGACGAGTGTAAAATATGACATTTTGATTGCACATTAAAAGGTTAAAAAGTTAAATGTATTAATGAATCATTTTTTATAAAATCTTTGACATGAATTTAGGAATTTTTTTACCTAAAACTCAAAAACAGTGGTATACATAATGAAGGAGTGCAAGGTTGTTTCACAAAACATGTCTGACAAGAAAAAGACATTCATCCAGATGTCTTACTGTTGTTCTCTCTCTCTCTCTCACTTTTCACTCACCTCATGTTAGGCCTTCAGGGCAGCCTTGAGCCATGTTTGACAGAACAATCCAGTCTTGATCAGCTAATAGTGACATTTCCTATCTCATTGTTCTCACAATTTTGGTTGGAGGGTACAGATTTTCCCTAAAAATCACTAGTATGGACAAGTACTTGTTCAGAAACACACCTGCTGTGTTTTTTTCTTCTTTTAATAGATTTCTTTATGAACCTGAACCTCTACCAGACAGGGCGTGGTACAATCATCATAATAATAATCACGTTTTGATCAAAGTGATTGACTCCTCAGCTTCATGTCGGTGAAAAGATGAAAGATTGTGTTTTTATTGCACGCCAGTAACGGTGTAACACTGAACTAATTGCTGCTGATCTGCCAGTGTGTGTCCCTCGAGGCTGTGCAAACCAATCCTCTGCTTTGAGGAGCAAACAAACCACTGAAACGGGTGAAAAAAACACCCGAATGAAACAGATAAATAAGAGCTAAATGAGACAGAAGTCTGTGGTTTTCCTGGAGAACCCCTCTCTGGTTTTGCCCTCTCCCTCTCACCTCCTGACACACACACACACACACACACACACACACACAGACAGTGTTCTGAAGAAACCTCAGTCCCCTCTTCCGTCAGAACCAGTTTCAGCATGTTCATGTCTGGCCTATGCTCTGCAGTTAAGGTGATGATACACGGGGCGACTTTTAGGGAAATGTTGCCATCAATGGGCAAACGAGTGAAACACAGTGCAACTATTTAGCACAACAAAAATGTATTGTTACATCTGCTCCCAGCAGCTTTCTCCGAGCCCTGATTATAAAGTTATGAATGGACAAAACAAATACAGTGAATCTTTGGGCCTATGCAAATTAATACATGAAAGCTAATTTGTTTACTGTATGTTTAAATTGGAAATGTGAGCATTAAATCACATAACCCATTGTGTTGATGTAACAACCTTCCAGAATATTAAGCTATTAGTTTACTGCTTTTCCTCATTACGCTGCTGCTGATCAATCACCATCTTATTTGAATTTTTCTGTCAGCTCTGTGCCAGTCATGTGATTCGCTGTTTAAAATCAAATTCAGAATCAAACAAATTTGAAGACGACAAAACTAAAAGATCCAGGCACAGTTTTGCTGCCCATTTTCAACTGGGAAAGTAATTTGCATTAAATGGTATGCTGTGTATCATCATCTTGTATGCAACCACCGATGTTGTGGGTAACATGGTAATCCTAAACCATTGTATGCGCAAACCCAAATAAAAAAATAACATTTCTCTACTTGATGGTGTGAAAAACACAGGAGGTTGACACATGTACTGTATACTTGAAACTTATTAGAATTTTTTGAAAATAGTATAGTGTGCACGACTCCTCTTCAGAAGTTATAAGTCAATCAATGTTAAGTTTTTTTGTATGCTTTTATGATAGATTTGAGAGTATCTTTTAACGTATTCACATATTCATAACCTTGCATACATGAAAAATTTTCATACAATCTATTAAAATAAATGGATACTTGGTAATTCTGATCAAAAAAGGTTAAAATATGCAAGTTTTGAATATGTTTTTCTAATATGCTGATCACAAAGCCTCTAAAAGGCTTTTTTCCCTCTTATTATCTTATTACACTGTTCTTTATTGCAGGTTATCAATATTCGGAACTAGAAGAAAAATATCTAATTGCAATTTTTGTTGACATATTGCAACCACACATGATTTGATTTGTGATCTTATTTTGTAGTCAGGCATCAGCTCAATATTCTGTATCGTAACTCTTACTGCCAAAATGCAGTGAGTATTAGTTAAAAAAGGAACTGAAAAGATATTAACTCACTTTAACATTCATTCAAATTTATTTTTAAATATTCAGAAATTAAATACAAATTTTCCTTTACAGCAAACAGTAAACACAAATAAAATGACCTTACTTTTCTGTAAACCAGTTGAACTCAAATTAGGGAGATAGTGTAGCTTATTATAAAAACAAAAAACACAATGATAATAAAAATACAGAACACTGCAAACTAACATGGCTGAAACAACTCTGAAATTGTTCTTTGCAGTTGCTTGCTACTAGATCGAGTGTCACTGACAATACTTTCACTTGACTTTTTAGCAAGACACTCATCACTCAATTGTGCTCACTCATTTGGCTAGTAAGACTATCACACACAGGTAGCAGTCAGGCGTTTGCTCTGGATAGGAGAAATTAAATGATACAAATATATTTCATATTGCAGCCATGTGCAATAAGCTAATTGCAATGTTTCAAATCGCAATTCGATTTCGATTAATCGCAGAGCCCTATTCAGAACCATGTGTTTTTGTTAAAGGAACGCTTCACTCTTATTATCTTCAAGCAAGGTTAGCTCCTTTTTCACCTGGGGTTATGAAGCGCTGACCCCTGTGGTGCTGAATCTGTGCAGTTTGAAACCATGTAGTTTATTAAGTATGTTACAGTGGCCATGGATTATTTAACAATATACAAGAATGTAAAATGCTAAAGTGTTTTTTGAAACTCATAGGACCGATCACACGCTGCAATTATTCAATAAACATTAACATCTTTTAAATAATAATCTTTGTGAGACCATAAAGGTCTATGCAAAATTGAGTGTGAAAAATCTTTTGTTTCCGCATTAGATGTTCAATTTATTTATATAGCACATTGCCAAATGGCCACAAGGCTGCACAAATTGCTTAACAGAGAAGATACATTACAGAAATAATAAACAAAATCGCAACAATGTAATGTGAAAGTGTGCATAGGAAATGCAAAATAAATTACACAGGAACAGTTTGGTTTCAATGGCTTACAATAAAAAAGTAATAACCATTTAAGTAATTCTGCCTAGTTAAGAGATGCTACCACAGTTGACCACATTAAACAGATTTAAAAACGAAACTGTTGCCCCCCCAAGAAAGGACTTATGCTTCAAATGACCTGTTGTTGTGACCTGAGATGTGTTAATATTATTGTTCTTCAGGTATGAGAATATATATTTGAGTGATCAGAATAAAGTGAAATTATTGAATATCTTTTATATGTTTTAGCACCATTTAGCTCCATCTTGTTGCAACAGCTTTGCTATTACACAAATCAAACCAAGTTTTTTTTTTTATCACAAACCGTTTCTGACAGTGATTAAAATATGGCTCCCTAAATGACCCAATTACATCAGATAATTTAGTTTCCATTAAAAGATAATGATTTAATGTCATTTTTAATGCAGCTGTTTATTTTGCAAAGCATTGTTTTGCAGCGTTGTTAACCACACATGAGATTGCAGTTGTGTGTCACTCAAGAGATTTTCATAATTACTTGCATCTGTTGAAAGTGACATGATTAGCAATGCAGATAATGAACGCTTAAACACAAACTCTCCAGTATACAGTATGGCTAAACTATAGAGACAAACCTGCAGGGTACTGAGCTCATTCTCACTTCTCAGTCATTGAACCGCTACCTCCATCATGTAGCAGCTTCTAGTTAAAGAATCTGTTTTTCTTCTTGACAGACTCTATGACAAATGATGTGATATATTAAGTAGGCACTTAAGTATAGGGTAAAGATAACAGCGATCAAACCACTGATTTATGTTCACATCACTAATGTTTCCTAGTGGTTTGATCTCTTTAACTGAAGCTCTTAAATAGCCAAAGTAAACAGAATGAAAGTCTCTTTGTTTCAATGCTTGGCTCTTCTTGTCTTTGTCACTCAGGTACGACGTCAAACTCCTATCTCCATGGAAACTCTCAGCACCATCTCCACAAAGAGCTGGACAGCGTTCGCAATCAGAGACACAAACTCGGTGAGAGATGTTTTGAACAACTAATGAAACTAATTAAAGTGCAATTCACTCGCTTTCAAAGATGTGTAGGCTGCAGTATCCACTCCTCGTAATATTGTCGAATTGCAAAGTGTGTGCATATTTGAATACGAACAGTCATTTGGAGCGAGGCCAGATGGGGTATGGCTGTATCATTTTCGACGTCAGCCTGTGTTTTGGGGTTTTATAAATGATTCCGGAGAGAGGAGCAGTTGGACGGAGAGGAGGCCACAAAGGCACTTAGGATATTGGAGTGTGATGCAAACTTTATTGTGGCTGTCTCTCCAAGTGCGGTCATTAATTTAGAGGCAGCATGGTGCATATGCAGGGAACTCTGCCAACCTCAGAGCCAGTGCGAGAGATGTTGAGAAGGAGAAAGTAGAGGACAGAGCGGTACAGGAGTGACGGACACTGGGATCCAGAAAAGATGCTCAAGAAGACCCACTTTAGAGCAAAGCAGGAGACCTAATGTTCGAGCTTTATCATTGCTGTTTTGTACTCTATGGGATATAAATGCCCTTAAATGGATGTAGATTTACTTTAGTTAACATACACTGTAAAAAAATAAATGGCAAAAGGTAGGGCTGGGCTATTTGCCCTAAATTTAAAATCTCGTTTAATTGAACATTTGAACTCAATAACGATTAACGAACGATTATTTAATTTATTTATTATATTTTTTTGCCTTCATAGTTCACTGACAAGTTTTTTTTACAGTAAATATGCTCATTTTTTAATGAAGGGTGCAGTACTTGATTTTGAAATTACTGGAGTAAGCACAAACTCTACTATCAATCTACTATCTATAATTATTAATTGAAACCAACACTGAACAACTGAATTTAAAACACGCACTGTCTAAAATGTGGCTCTCTGAATTGCCCACCATCTTCACTGCTAATAACCAGTTATTTTACAACAATGCAATCATTTTTTTTTTTTGCAATGCTTTGCAATCATATTTTTTGAGAGGTGCGCGGGCATATGAAGGCTGTGCCCTTCTCAGAAGAATATCATAATAATGTAATAAGTATAAATCATAATGTAATAAGTAAAATTCAGGCTTTACAGAGCGGGGGACGTGACTCCACACATGGTAGGCAAAGTAATTGAAATAGATCTGTAAATATGAAATTGATTCTAGATTCTGAATATCAATTTTAATTACTATCAACTAAATTTTTGCTATACAATGTTTAATATAATATTTTTAGTCAGTTTGACTGATTTAAGTTGAGATGACTAGAAAAGGCAGGAAGATTTTATTTTTTTAGCATAAACTGACAGCAGCTCTTTTTATGCACTAATGCAATGCAAGACAATAGTTTCAGATTTGTAAGGTATTTTTAAATGCTTTTACAATAAGTGTTTTATGCTCGGAAATTATTTCTTATAAGAATATATGATCAAATCAGAAATTCCATAAAAAAATAAGTCAAATTTTCAAACATTGGAAGAATGTAAAATAACTTTTTTAATATATTTCACAATGTGATTTCTTCCTAATATGCCTTTATTTCTAATTTACTGATTTACTGCTTAAAGGGGACCTATTATGCCTCTTTTTACAAGATAAAAGTTAAAATAAGTCTCTGATGTCCCTAGAGTGTGTATATGAAATTTCAGCTTAAAATACCTCACAAATAATGTTTCATATCTTTTTGAAACTGCCCCTTTTGGGCTTTGATCCAAGTTGTGCAGTTTTGGTGTCTGTCAAGTTGAATTTAAATGAGATTGTGTTCTCAGCCCTCTTTTCAAAAGAGGGTGGAGCTTCAAATGCCTATGCATCAGCATAGTGGCAGATTCAAAACCGGATTAACGTTATCTTTTATGCAAAGCTGAAAATGTCAAAAGAAGTGGCAGTCTTGGAGACTCTGGTCATTTGTTCATCCTAAAACTCGACATTTATAATGTCTCTTAGTCGCTGAGATTATCTTCGGCAGGTGAAAACTCAGGATCTTCAATTCTCACCCAGGGATGTCTATGCTAATGAGGGAGAGATGGTTGACATGATGTCATGTACAAAAGATGTCTATGATGGGTCTTAAAAAGTCCTAAAATGTCTTAAATGAAAAAAAATAAAATAAAATTTAAGGACATTAAAAATTCACAAAAATATTGTGTTGTAGGTAAATCATTTTAAACTTCATTTTTACTTTGTCTGAGTAAAGCTACTTAGTTGGGCCGACATCCATCCAATGACCAACAATACATCTCAGTAAAACCTTACTTTTTATATTGAAGTTTTTTATTGAAAAGAGATACAATTCATAACAGCTGTTAGACATTTTACAGCAAACTCTCCATTCAATTCCCAAATCAAAGAAGGAAAATTAATAACAATTACACAATTCCTGATGATAATACAGGGCACTAACAAAACATCATAGTGTTTAACCCTGTATAAGTCTAAAATTGAATTCGTAATGGTCTTAAAATGTCTTTAATTTGACTTGATAAAACCTGCAGAAACTCTGTTAATGCAAAGAATACTTTGTGTATTCAGTTTATTATATGCAGTAAATTAGTTTTATATATCATGAACACATCTCAACTATGAACTGTATTAATATTGATAAACTTTCTATCTAAATGGATATGTTCTATCGTACATTGATACTTTCTATCTGAATTGATATGTTTTATTAATTTGTAGGCCTGTCACAATAATCAATATATCAACTTATCGCACAACACTTGGACATGACCTCAATCTTTGTTGGTGCCTTAATATATATCGCCATACATTAAAACCAATTCTAGCAACATTTTAGCTAATTGTGCAACATCTCTGTCCCTATTGGTGTCAGTATGGTTAAAAACATTGTTTTCTTAAAATTACCAGTATATTTTCATGTTGGTGCCTGACAACTAAAAATAGATCTGGTAGCTATTATTGCAGCCTCTGTAACTTTGTACCCTGGACTTTTTTGTTAACATTTATTATTATTTATTTAGGATATGCCTTTTTTACATTCTGATTCCAATGTTTAATTATTAAATAGTTCAAATGACTATAATTAAAGTAAATTAATTTTTATCAAGAATAAAATATTATGTGTTCTTTGGAAAAGTGTCCTTGCATTTTGATAATATTCTGGCAATATATATATATATATATATATATATATATATATATATATATATATATATATATATATATATATATATATATGTATATGTGTGTGTGTGTGTGTGTGTGTGTGTGTGTGTGTATATGTACATGTATATAATGAGTGGCATAAAATGGTCCTAAAATTACATTTATATTGGTTATTACAATATATTTTACAACAACAACAAAAAAGATCGTGATCAAAAATTGTGACAGGCCTACTAATTTGTGATGCTAATATGAGACAAATAATGTTAACAAATTGATACTTAGTATAAAGTGATACACTTACATAAACAGTAACATACTTTATAGCTTTGCTGATTGAAAGATGTTTTGAAAATGTTCCTGTTTTAAACATATTTTTCACCATATTATAGAGACTGCTTATTTAAGCATTTAATTGTTTGTTTTTCTGAGACACTGTGAGAACTTGACTAATTATAGGGTTTAGGTATAGTTTTCTCAAAGTTAAATGCATGTACAGTCAGTCTACAATACGTACACTTGAACTGTTTCTCTCCCCTTCCATCCTAGAAAGGAGAAAGAAGGCCTCAGCCTGGGAAAAGAACCTCCTTTACCCCATAGTGATGCTGATCCTGCTTGCTGGAACAGTATGTGTTTATTTACACTTTGCAGGGTTGAAAAAAAAGAAACACAAAGTGTAATGTGATGCTGTTTATTTCATAAGTTGGTTTGCTGTTTCTCTGTAGTGTTGTTAATGCTCATGCTTGTTTCATCTGTGCTGTGTTTTCAGACGATTTCTGTTCTCCTGGTTGCCCTGAACATTGTGTACCTGCTTGTTGATGAGACAGCCATGCCAAAGGGTTCAACGGTAAGAAAAGTGAAAGGTGACAAACTTGTAAATGTAAACAAACACACACTCAGCTTTTGAGGATTTTTCCCTTCTTTCACTTGCGTCCTGCTAAAATCATGCTTTGCGTCAGGGCAAATTGAATTCCAGATATGCTCAGGTGTGTGCTGGAGAAGAAAGCTGAAGATGTGTATCATGTTGCGGTTGTTTGATGCTCTTTATCAGAGTTGTACTCACGTCTGCTTTACCTGATGCTGTTTCAAAGGCGCTCATGCACTAAATGTGTGTGAAACTCTGGACACGGAGCTCATTTGTCTTAACTGGGAGTTCTTGGCTGAGGTCCTTTGAGTCAAACAGCTGTAATGAAACCACCATTTAACCTTCATGCAGTTTTTTCTGCACTGAAGACAGTGTGAGTTTTCTTTTTTGACAAGGTAATTACAAGCTACGGATGGTGAAATCTGAATTTCTCACTAAACTTAAACTCTTTTAGCAGATTCAACATTAACAGTTACATCATTTCCTGTTTTCTTAAACATAAAAATGTTTTTGCTTTCTTTCCTTCCATACAATGATGGTCTTTTCTCACCTTACTTCACCACTCCCACCTGCTGTTTCAGCTTCATACCTTTTTCTTACCACAACAAAGGGAACACCACATATCCTTTTTTTCTGGCCAGGGTTTGATAGTCCTGAGCTGCTCTGTGCGAGTGCTCGCTCCTCATTCTAATTATTTTATTAGTGTCGATATTTGCCTTGGCATGACGCTTGACTGAAAATCCCCCAAATTACACTTGTCACAGTGTTCAGAGACGAAGGGCCCTCTTGACAGACTGGTTAATGGTTTATGCGTTTGATGAGCTGGACTGGTGCCATGCTTAAGATCTCATGTACCAACGACAACCCAGAAGCGGTGTCTGTATGTCTGTTTGAAGAGTTTCACATTAGCAGGGATGAAGGGATCTGAATTTCACAACAGAGATTGATGCGAGTTAAGGTAACTAGGTTAACGTCGAGACCGTCAGATGAGGCAGTGTGTCGTAAAAGTGGCTATGAGGTAAGGACATCTAATGCAGTGGCACTGCTTGCATTAAGCTGTCTGATGCACTGTTGCTAATGACTGCAATAAAAGTCTTATTGCTGTCACTCCCCATGGATTCAGAATTATTGTCGATGCTAAAAACAGCCTCATTAATGTCCGTTTCTCATCCGTACCTCACTTGGCATATGGAGCAGAAGGAGTGATGGAACGAGAAATGAGATGAGAGGGAAAGCTCAAGGGGTCATATTTCTCTTTTTGACCTCTGAACCTTTGATAAGAGTCAACTGATGAAATTTGGCTCCTAACCTGTCAGTAAACAGCTTTATGAAATAAAAGGCCTTCCTAATTTATTCAATTTTGATGCTTTTTTCTTTTAAAATCCTTTATCAGTGGTAGCTAAGGCAAATCAAAACATTTAATGTAAGTAAGACATACCTTAATAGTCCTATAAAATTAAAATAAAGTTTTTTTTATAGGTTAGTATCCAGGGTTCAATGCTAAGGACATTTTCAGTTCAGTTCAGATTTTTACTTGCCCTGCCAAAATTTTCACTGGCCCCACCAAAATAAATAAATAAATAAATTAAAAAATAGCTATTTTTAGCCACATATTTTAAATAATGTGTCAAAAATAATGTCTTTGAATCTAGAATTTAAATATTTTTAAAATGTTCAAATATTTAGCAGTAAAATACAGCAGTATGGAAAATGTGCAGGTATTTTATTGCTAAACAAAAGGTGGCTGACTTAAAAGTCATGGAAAACTGTCCAAAACATCACTTAACATTTTTCGTTGTGTTGTACCCATGTAAATGTCTTTTTCCACAATGTTTTAAACAGACGTTTTCTTTTAGCCTAATAATTTGATGTTGCCGTCTCTTCACTGTTCTGGTTTTTACCAGGTTGTGAAAAAAAATAACATGCTCACAACAACCAATCAGATAAAAGGAACCAAAAAGCAATATGGTGTTTACGACTTCACAGAAAACACAGCATTCTGAGACTTAAAAGCACAAATTGTTTCTCGATTCTAAGACTGTATTTGCACACAATTGATAAATAGTAGCAGGAAAATTAAAATTTTAAGACAAGGCAGCACTGGCCTGATCGGGCCAGTAACGATTCTCTCCACTGTCTCAAACATCTCTCATGCTGGCCCATCGGGCAGTCCTTATTGTTGAGCCCAGTGATATATATAGACAAGTGTGCTGAAAAAAAAACAACAGAAAAAAAATGCATTTAGAACACATAAACCAGATATAAACATCCAAATCTTGTCACTTCTGCCTAAATGGATCAATCTTTTTTTTTTCAGCTCATACTTCAGTGTTTCATCAAATGTTGACCAATATCTGAAATATCCCACCCCTTTTAAGATGCTTTTCATTTGATGCACTTGAGCTCAACCACTCTCATTGGCAGAGCTGTGAGAAAATGAAAAGCTATTGGCTGGAGGAGCTATTCTGTCCCACCTTCTCTTCATGTTTCAGTTGAGATTATGTCAAACATCGAATAAAAAATGCACATTTCAAAGCACTTCACTGGAAATTTAAGAAATGTACATGCACAAATATCCTTAAAATCAGTCAGTAACTCATGAAGATTAATGGTGGCATGGAAGGCACTGATTCATTATGTTTGAGTTGTTCTTTGCTATCTACATAGAATGTTTATAGCTTAGGCAAGTGTAAAGTTTCTTCAGAAACCGCAACAAATGTCAGCATTAGGAGTTACCCCTAAAATGAAAAATGTTCTGGTTTTACCTTATTTAGACTGGTCATGAATATTATTAAGCTCTGCTCTGGTGTTCCTGCTGCTCAGTTCAGTTATTGTAATTCGCACAGTGTGATGTACTCTGAAATACACAGGTGAAAAGTAATCTTACTTTAGAAAACATTTGAACTGTTGAGTAGATCCGTTGTCAAATAATAATCATTTCAACTGAAGTGGTGGAGAAAGTAAGCCCAATTATCTATATGCTCCTGAGTTATGTGTTGTATGTGAAATAAAGGCTAAATTATAATTCTACACGATAAAAGAGACTGACATTAGCCATCTGGTTCTCTTTGCTTTACCTTTCCATTTTGTGCTGAATCCGGGTCAGTCGCACAGATAGGGTTTTATTTTTTGTGGTGTTGATGATAACAGGATGTAATAAAACCGTGTCAGTCACTGTCTTCATAATGCAAATATAATGTTAACACTTATCTGAACGATTATCAGATATTTCTGTTTTGGGGAAATTTGAGATATTTTTCCAGATATTTAAGTCGTTAAATAGCTATAAACTGGCTGCCAGGCCACACATTAGCAACGTCACACATACACGCACTCAGGGCCGGATTAACCAATGGGCCTTATGGGCACAGGCCCAGGGGCCCGTGCGCACTTGGGGCCCCTGCGAGGGGGGAGAAAAAAAGACAATTTCGGAGTGTCTTTTTAGGCTAATTGCAAATAGCGCATCTAGTTGGACCAAGCTATTCAGGGTTTACGCCCATCAATGCCTGATTGATAGAGACAAGATGAGTAAAGAGCTGTGTGTTAATTCAGCAGCAGTGGCGCACCTTGTAAGGCGCACAGCAACATCTTTTGACGCGATTAATCATAACATCGGTTCGAATCCACCATCTGCTGAACTCGTGCTACTTTTTTTCCCTCCCCATTACATATCAGATTGGAAATATATTTATTTTTAACAGGAAAGAAACATTTTTTTAAAATAATGCAAATGCGATATAAAGTCACAAGTGTCTCGTGGGTATTTAATAATGTTTAGCCTTATATAGGCGCCTGCCGCGCCTCCCTCTCTTCAAAAACTATATTGCTCAGACAACTGTATTTCCTCTGAGCAAAAAAATCGCGATCACATATTAATATTATTATTATATTTAAATTGCCTTTCTTTCTTTAACTAAACAGAATGCTGTAATTGGTCAAGCGCGGAAATGTCAGTTTTGTAATAACCCGCACTAAACTGAGCGGACTTTAGTGTAACGTTATATCTGTCATAGATCAAAAATGAGTGGACAAGTGGATTTAGCAAACGCGAGAGAAAGAGGAGAGGAGGCATCTTTATTGAGGCATTTTCCATGCACACCTTCTTTAAACAGACCCGTGATCAGGAGAAAGAGGGTACAGAAGAAGACGGTATGGTAACTTTAAATGAGAAGCTAGCATTAACCAGGTGGAGGAGGCTAACGGCAGCGCAGCGCGGACTGGATTCATCTTGTGAGAGACAGACAGAAAAGGAGAGAGAGAGGGAGAGAGAGAGAAAGGCCCTGAAGAGGAGAGAGACGGGAGAGAAGAGGTATAGTGTCTGTGATTTCGGATACTTTTAGGTTTATAATCAAGTCTTCGTCACGAGAAGAGTAGAGAAAATACAGGGAGAGGAGGAGAGAGACAGTAAATCAGTGTTTGTATTATGAAAGACTCAGATTCATAGAACTCAGATTTATAAAACTGGATTGGAGAAGCATTGTGCGTTATATGCCATGGCAATAATATGCTTTATAAGTTTGTAAAAGCAATACATTAAAATACCCTTAAAAAAAAAAAATATATATATATATATATATATATATATATATAGTTTTATTAGAATTTTTATTTAATGCTTTGAAAAATCATTTAAATCTTTGTAGACTATAAATGCATATGTACTATATATCATTTATTTAAATATGTGGGCAACAAATTATAGATTCATTTTATTAAAAAAATTATTATATTATTCTTATTTTTTTTATTCAACTATAGGGGTGCGGCCAGGTAGGGGGCCTTACAAGATAATGTGCCCAGGGGCCCCTGAGTTCTTAATCCGGGCCTGCACGCACTCTACCAGCATGGTTTAGCATGGTTTGTCAAACTGTGTCAATTCAGGCTAATGTGTAAATACAACTGGAACCGCATCATTTTCCATAGGAAATATATATTAAGCTGTGTTTTACTTAAAACATTTTTATCATTGTTTATTTCACACTTTTTCAAACACTACTGAAGGCATGTATATTAATAATCCCAAGTGTCGGTGTTCTATTCTAATTTGCATATTATTCTGTGGTCTTTTGCTCAGAAAAAAATTATATGAGGAGGAAATAATGGTGTTTGAGACTCACAATATGTCATTTCTGTGTACTTTACACTTAGTTTTAACTATGCCTAGATTTACATTCTATAGCACCTTTTTGGGCGATCACACTGAACACATTTTTGCGGTGAGAGGTGCCCTTTTTTGAATGATTTCCTAATGACTGTGAGCGTTTTGCGCTCTGCTTACGTGCTGCTGCGTTTTTGTCATTGCGCGCTCGCAGTTGAAAAAAGTAAACTGTGAGCTGAAAAATCTTGTTATGTCAGTCGCGTCTGTTTCAACCTCCAATCAAGTGAAAACAGATTGAGGTGCCTGCAGTGTTTGTGTTGTCAAGACAACTACGAAGATGGAGGAGAGAGTCGTAGTTGTGGTTGCAGTTTTGGGTTATCCGGTGCTGAATGACTTCCCAAATATTGAATTTCACAATATTATTAAATATTAAAATTATGACAAAATCAACAGCAACACTTTCACACAATACCTAGCTGATCAAGTCGTTGCCTAGTGACATAAAAAGTTCACCGCACTTCTTTCTTTTTATCAACAAAATGGCAGTGAGGTGCACCTCGCATTTTCAGAACGGAAAATCGTGTACTGTGTGAAATATATAGCTGAAAGACATTCTGTTGCTGTACACAAAACTTTAGGAAAATAGTTCAACAGATGCACAAATAAACCATTAATAAAAGTATTAATTTGTTGCGGATTCTGAGAAAACAAAGTGAACGAAAAAGTAATAAGCAAACAACCAGATTGTCTCTAAACATTAATATGCAAAACTATTCACATCAATATTTCTAGAATGAATTTTGTGTGATTGTCCTGGAAGAAAGTATAAAGACGAAGCCGTTGTAAAAATTCATATGCTGAATGCTCGAGTAAACAGTGCATGAGTTCATTGCGAATAGTGTGTAATTTGGGACACTACTACAGATTTGTGCTTTGCTCTGAAACCAGCAGTGCATTTCTTTTCCAGTTTAGACAGACATCTTTGACAGCATTACAGCTCGTCAAGGTAAAACAGTTATTTTGCATGTAATTGCTACATGCAGTGCAAAAATATACACTGTTTAGTCAGTGCGGTTTGATCACATCACCTATTTTGAGTTCAGTTCCTTTTTATTAACTCCAATCTTTCTTTGATGCTTTATTATTAAAAAGTGAGTCTATGATAATATTTTGCAAACAGGTTTTCTGGTTTTCAATCACATGTAAACTTTCTTCAGGCCTGTCATCAATAACAACAAGCAAGAATGACATTATAAAATCTGCTTCAGATTTGATCTAATCCAGTTAGAAAGATCACCATAAATATTTTTACATGCTCTGTTGATTTTGAATTGGTCTACTGTCAAATGCACATCATTAGAATGAGACTGATGATTGATTTTTCTTTCTTTCTTTTTTTTTTAATTTTACTTGTCAAGCCCAGACTTAGGTTGTTTTACATTGATAAATTATGTCAAATAAATGTTGGCTTTTATTGTAATAATTCCAATCCAAACCTTTAGATCACATCAATGACTTCAAAAGATATTAAAGGCCTGAGATCGAGAAACTTTGTTTGCCAGCGCATTTGTTTTGGTTTCTATTTTTTTCTTCACATTTTTCTCCTAATTTTTGGCAGCCGTTCATTCTGTGTAGCCTCTTACTGTAAGAGCACCACTGCCTTTTTTCTCTCTTTCTTTTTCTTTTTTGTTTGAACACCTGCTCGCATATTATGCGTGTGTGAGCGGCGGTGAATTTAAAAAGATTTCTTTCATCTGCTTCCATTCATTACTTCGCCAATTTCACTCTGTCTGTCCTCGTTGGTGAGAGGGGAAACTTTGCTAATCTGAGCTTTATACGTTTTATTTCTTCATAATAGCGTTCACTCAGAACAGCTCCAAATATTTGTGGTGCTTTTTTTCTGCCCTCACTGCCTGAAGCACTGAGGTGTCAACACTGTAGTCTTATTTAGATTGCAGCTTCAGTTGTAACTAGAGCCTTTGCGTCGGGCATGTAGCTAAAACACGTCCACTACATGCTCTCACTCTGTGTAAGAGTATTGCTTCAGTCCTAAAACACAACTGCTGCTTTTAAGAGACATACATGATCAAATTCTGCATCCAGATTAATAAAAATAACCACTGACCGTAACTTTTCCTCTTTGTTTCATCAGGAGAGAGACATTGGCAATGCTTCTTTATCCACATTTGGAGTTGCCCAGGCGGTTGTTGAAATCATCCTCATGTTGTATCCTTTTCTCTCTGTGATTCTCTAATGCTGCATAAGCTCCAGTTTTGTGTTTGATCACAGATTGTGTGTGTTCAGTAAAGCAAATCAAACTTGTTTGCACAACGATTGTTGTGAGTGTGCTTGAGAGTGCTAGTCGACAGTGTTAGTCTTAACTCTGGAACAGTTATCTGCTTGTCTCCTCTGTGGTTGGTTTCTACAGTCTTCGTATCTTTCAGGAACTCACTCCCAGAAAGGACGACACCAACATGACAACGGTAGGATCTGCAACGCTCCTTCAGTCCTAACACTTGAACTACTAAAACTATCATTATTAGAATAGCCATGGTGGTCATTTTGATCGTTCTTAAATAAAATGTCATATTGTCAAGTCATTTTTATATTCAAAGCTTCTATTGAGTTATTAAAATAAGGCTTTGAATTAATGTTTGTTGTCATATTGTATGAACTCATTACCCTAAAAGTGTCTTTTGTTATACAGCTTTTAAATGTGTTTGAGTTACTAGTTGGGATGCTCAAAACGATCGGCCGGAGATCGCTATTGGCGGATAATCACATTTAATGACTTAATCGGTACTCTCTTATCCGGCCGATCTCATGAACCGATTGCAAGCGTTTGTTTATGAGTTTACTAGTACAGGAAGAGGTGACGAGAGTAAGTGAACAAGAGAACAGATTGAGAGAGGCACAGTGGTGTTCTAAGTATTTCATTGGTTAGGTTAACTTCTTATGCATCAATTATGCGCTTCAAACTTTTTTTTGATTGAGACATGTTGAATTCTTCCATCATTTGCAGAGTCTAAATTGCATTGTTAATCATTTCCTACCATTTTTTAAAGTCTGTTTTATCTATTATTTTCTGTAAAACTTCTGACCATCACATGTTCACACCAAATAGACGTTTTTAAGGGATTATATGCAGCATCTTTAATTTATTCTCTTAGGTAAGGTGAGATCTCCACGCAAGTATTATTCCTGGAGGGAAAATTAGTTTTTTTTTTTTTTTGCGAAGCATCAGAATCTGTACTTGGTCTACACTGTAGAATCTGTTGATCACCATGACAAGGAATTGGTACTCAGCATCAGCTACAAAAATTCTGATCGAAGCATCTCTAGTTACTAGACCTCCTATGAAGGTGCGCACCTCACGTTGTCTGGCAAGCAGTAGAGTTTTTTTCATCGCAGTGCATATGTTGTTTTGAAAGAGTCTGCAGTAGTTATGCTTTGGCTACTAAAAAATCGTTTTGCTAGGCAACTTCCAAAAGCAGGGGAAAGTATTGGACACTGAAATGCATGCAGCCAGTTTGACCGCTATGGTAATTCAATACAGATAACTCAAAACTCTTTTGTGAGAGAGGAAATATGATTCTGCTTCTGTCAAAACGATCAATGACCTCTGGCCCTACCCATTTTAGGAAAAGAATTCCAGTTTAAGCCCCGCCCCTTTTAATATGAACTTTATCATTTCCAGTAATTTGTTCCCAGTCGAGTAAATTAAATCCTATATATTGTATAAATCTGGTGATCAGATTAAATCAATTATAATTACGGTAATTTAAATCAATTCAATTGGGTATATGCCGAGCTAGTGTTGTTCCCATACTGATAAACTTCCGGTGACCTGTTATTGTGAGGTTTTTTTTTTTTCCATTTTATACAGTTCCTTTTACAGAATCGATGTTGTAATGTAATAAAAATACAATCAGTTAAATAAACTTTGGCATTCATTTAATTGCTCAAGCATAAAACAAGACAAGACTTTATATCGGATATCACTCAGCCAGTGGAGATCGCTGATTTTTAAAGAAAACAGACCTTAAACACGACGATTTTGCTATGGCATACAGTCCACCGGAAGCGATTAACCCAGGTTACTGGCAAATTAAAAGTCCTATTAGCATGCTTCGGCATATACCCTATTAATTTATTCCAACTATTATTAGAACCATTATTATATTTTAATTCCTTTGAAATAATTAGATTATTTTTTTGAATAAAGTATTGTCTTTCCCAGTGATGGGTTGCAGCTGGAAGGGCATACGCTGCGTAAAATATATGCTGGACAAGTTGGCGCTTCATTCCGCTGTGGAGACCTCAGATTAATAAAGGGACTAAGCTGAAAATGAATAAATAAAGTATTAATTATATTATATTATATTATATTAAATTATATTACATTATAATTAATAAACTATCATTATAAGCATTTATATTCTTTTTGGGTTTTGTAATTTTAATAAAATTACAAAGTTAGAAAGAAATATACACACAATTAGGAAAAGTCAGGGTTTCATAGTTATATGTGTATCTTAAAGTTATTAAATTACAAAATTGAAGTACAGTCAAAATGACTGCCTCAATAGTTCTAGTGTTAAGATCTGTTCATTACAAAGCTATGTGCACACTGTACTATTCTTAATTGTGAGCCCGCACATGTGGGGAACCCACAGAACAGAAAAACAATTGATTTACACAGATCAAAAGTAGCCCAATTCCACAGGAAAACTATTACAACACTATTTAAAATCTCTGATTTCCTAAGTCTCTTCTTTGCGGCATATTTCCAGTTTCTGCATGAAAGCGCCTTCTTGTCTTTGGAAGAGATTTACTACTTATCACAGAGCTCTTCTTCCCTGACAAGATGTGCATAACAAATCACAACTTTTAATAAATAACAATTTCGATTTATCATGCAGACCTACAGTAGTTGATGATGACATCTAGTGATCTGATCTTAAATTGCGCATGTACTGTTTTCATGTACTGAGTAAAATGAAACAGTATTTTAAAATAGTAGATGAGAAGAATCTGGATGACCTACTACTTCTGTCGAAATTGTGAAGTGTGCCTCTAATGGACACTATCCCATGAGGCCATAGGATGTTGCAACACAAATGATGCTTGTAGGTCATGTGAAAATGGCAACTTGGCTATGTACATCTGCATTTTCATTCATGCTACCCATATAAAATTCAAAGGTAGTATCTACTCAGAGTGTGTGATTTTGGTGTGTTTGAAGCAAGTGTGTGTAATTGTTACTGGATTGATACAGCATAATCAGGTTTTGTGCACATTGTTGAATGTGAAGATGCTGGAGGACTGTGCATCAGAAATATCTGACAATCGCAAAAAATTTCATCTGAGGTGAAATTTGATCACAAGGTTGATTAATTGACTGTCAGTGAACGTGTCAAAGTAGAGATCGAAGAGTACAGATTTTGGCCTAGGATCAGAGAAATCGTTTAGGATTTGCAAACGTCTTCTCAGACAGCCAAATTGTGGCAGTGTGCACCTGGCTTAAAATATCACAGGTTAAGTTTAGAATATTCACAAACACTTCATTGTTTCAAAGTTTAATTAATGTATGTCATTCTCCGAACACTGTGACCTGAATACATTTGAGCAAAAAAGAAAATGGCGTAATCTCACAATTAAAAAATATAATGATTATTTTCTCAAAAAAAATCTGGATTGTTGTAACCAATTGTTCGGTCAAACATGGACAAACTAAAAGTTGGGTTAATTTAAATTGAAGTTAAATTTAGATGACACTTGTTAATTCAACAGTTGTGTTTGTCCACGTTTCTCCCAACAGAGAGCACAACCAATATTTTTAGAGTGTTTTACAGCGCTCAGCATAATTGAGTACACCCTATTTTGAAAATGAATATTACCCTAGTGAACAGGCAGAGTATTTTGGAGCATTTAAACAAAACAGATTTATTAAATGAATATATTTATTAAAATAATATTTTAGTCACCAAACATAAATTACAACCTTCAAAATTTCAACAAAAAAATTCAACATTCTTTTGTTTCTCTTGATATTTCCTTTTTTTGTTTGTATTTAATATTTTTCTATAACATAAATTTGGGTGTACTAGTTTTTGAACCGTTATTGTAAGTTATTTTGTTAGATAGACTTCAGATTTGGCTTCAGTACTGACTAATCTAATATATATGCACAAATATAATATTGTATAGCGTCCTATTATAAATATGAATTTAAAAGAGAGATTTGTTAGGGGTGTACTTATATGCTGAGCACTGTATATATACTCCATATTATATATACAATATTGGTTTATTCTTCAGTTATAATTAGTATTCTTTAATAATATTTTGCTGTAAATGTGTCTTAGACTTGTTTTTGTTTTATGTCTTGTAGATCATTGGTTGCTGTGTTTCCATACTAGTGCTGAGCTCAGCTCTGCCTGTGATGTCCCGAACACTCGGTAAGGTTCTCCAGACCTGCATGTGTATATAATTCTACTTTTGCATCTATGCATTTCTTAAGCTTTCTATAAACATGCCATTTGATGTTCGTTTCTTTTTGGCTACCACTACTTTTTTATGCATTCTCTAGCTGCTCTGACACACACACTCACCGGTAAACTAATTTCAGCTATTGGGATTTAACAAGTTGCATTCCAGCAGGATTTGCCATAGAGATTTATACAAGAATGGAGTAAGAAAAAAAGACAGACGAGCAGCCATCACAATAGCTGCAATAAACAACATGGCAAGCTACAGACACAGCTGTTCAAATAGCATTGTGTGCGAGTGAGTGAGTACAGTGACTCATTGGGAGCTTCAGAAAAATATCAACATTTCTGCTGAGCTGAATAGATGAAAGGCGAGGTTGCATGTTGTTGTTGTTTTTTACTTTTTTTTTTATCAAAGAAATTCAACTTTGTTCACGAAAAGTCTTAAGCAGACCAATTGAAACACATTTACTCTCAAATCCTCTAAACATCCATGTGTCTCCATGAAGTTCTGCAGAAGAGTGAACAGGTTTAACTATACTTGTCAATGATGTTCTTACTATCTCGCCTATAAAACAGCCAAATGTTGTGTGTAGATGTAAAGGTACAAATCTCATTAACTTGATTTTAAAACGGTGGAACTCTTTGAGATGTCCACATTATATATTGAAGTGTGTGTGTGTGTGTGTGTGTGTGTGTGTGTGTGTGTGTGTGTGTGTGTGTGTGTGTGTGTGTGTGTACATAGTCCGCAGGAGCCTGTTAAAAATGTGGGAAAGGCAAACTGACGTGTGACAGTGCTGACTTTTACATAGATAGTTAACTTTTATCTTAACCCTTTGTTTTTTTATATATATATATATATATATATATATATATATATATATATATATATATATATATATATATATATATATATATATATATATATATATATGAGTATAGAGTTTTTTTATAGAGATTTTTTTATCCCGAAGAGGAGTCGGTTACTTATTTTTATTTAATTTATCAAATAAGTACATGGGGGCTCCTGTGGGGAACAACAAAAAATACTTTTGACATTCACTTACCGGCCACTTTATTAGGTACACCTGTCCAACTGCTTGTTAAAGCAAATTTCTAATCGGCTAATTACATGGCAGCAACTCAGTGCATTTAGACATGTAGACATGTAAAAGAAGATCTGCTGCAGTTCAAACTGAGCTTTAGAATGGGGAAGGATGGTAATTTAAGTGACTTTGAGCAAGGCATGGTTGTTTGTGCCAGAAGGGCTGGTCTGGGTATTTGAGAAACTGCTGATCTACTGGGATTTTCACGCACAGCCATCTCTAGGGTTTACAGAGAATTGTCAGAAAAAGAGAAAATATTCAGTGAGCGGCAGTTCTGTGTGCACAAATGCCTTGTTGATGTCAGAGGAGAATGGCCAGACTGGTTTCAGCTGGTAGAAAGGCAACAGTAACTCAAATAACCGAGTTACAACCGAGGTATGCAGAAGAGCATCTCTGAATGCACAACACTTTCATCCTCGAGGCGGATGGGCTACAGCAGCAGATGAGCACTAAGTGCCACTCCTGTCAGCTAAGAACAGGAAACTGAGGCTACAATTTGCACAGGCTCTCCAAAATTCAACATTTAGATGGTAGGGTCAGAATTTGGCATCAACAACATTAAGGCATGGATCCTTGTGTCAACGGTTCAGGCTGGTGGTTGTGTAATAGTGTTAGGGATATTTGCTTGGCACACTTTGGGCACATTAGTACCAATTGAGCATTGTGTCAACGCCACAGCCTTCCTATTGTTGCTGACCATGTCTATTCCTTTATGACTACAGTTTAACCGTCTTTTGATGGCTGCTTCCAGCAGGATAAAGGCTGATTTATACTTCTGCGTCAAGCGCACGCGTATGCTACGGCGCAGCCTACGCGTTGACGCATAGCCCTACGCCGTGGCTAATGTAAATGTAACTACACGTAGCTCTAAGATTGGTCGGCTTGGTTGCGCTGACGAGTCTGGGCGGTACAAGCTCGATAGAGCGATTGTTTACAAATGTGGAGTCCTGTGAAGGAGCTCCGGATGGAAATTTTTGTTTTGTGTTTACATCATAGTTAAAGTTGTTGCACGTCCGCCGGTTCCTGCCTCAAAATGAGCGAGTTTGAGCCACTTGTAAATTCAGGAAGCGTTCAGAAAAGAAAAAAAAACACCAGTGAAGAAACTCGACACAGAGGAACATTAACACCTCACTGCCAACTAGCGTTTCGGAAGTGTTAATGCAGACCAACAGAGACAGTGCGCAGAAGTATAAATGCACAGATACGCGGGTTGCATGCGCCATGGGTCACGCCGATTACTTGACGCAGAAGTATAAACCAGGCCTAACGCACCTGTCATAAAGCGCAAATTATCTCAGCACCTTTGGGATGTTGTGGAACGGGAGATTCGCATCATGGATGTGCAGCTGACAAATCTAAAACTGCTTAATGCTATCATGTCAATATGGACCAAAATCTCTGAGGAATATTTCCAGTACATTGTTGAAACTGTGCCATGAAGGATTAATATAGTTTTGGCAAAATGAGCAAACACTATATTGGTAAGGTGTACCTAATAAAGAGCACTTCAAAAATAACTTGGTTCACTTAATACAAATTGTCAAAACAGAGAGCATGGTAAACAGGAAAAAAGCCAAATCAATGAAGAATTTGGATTGTGCTGTAAAAACCATTGGAATTACTGTTTATATCAAGTCTGAATTTCACTGTTGATTAGTTCATTTATTACCCTATATTATAACCATAAATTCAGTACTGTAGAAGCCAATCATTTCCTAATTCTGCTCAAATCTGTGTTGATTTGAAGAAATTCTGTCAATATACACATCATGGCAGATAAATATCCATAGCAGTCGATTATTAAACAGTTGAGAAAGAAATGGTATGTGTATCATTGATTAGCTGTTATGGCAGTACTGAAATTGCTCGTTGTTCTCATTAGCTAGTCGTTAATTCCAGAAAAGCTTAATGTTTGATAAAATCTGATTTCTCATTTTGAAGTTTATTTTCACCTTGGCATTAGACATTAGATTAAGTCAAGCTTTTCAATATGTCAGCAAGTTATAGATTTAAAGAATAGAAGTCTCTTCTATTGGGCTTTTTCAGTAATCGGTGGACCATTTTTGAAGCTGGTTGGTCAGTCTGAAAACTCAAACTTCAAAAATAAAAAGTTTAAAGCACGTCAAACTTTGGATACATATGTCTATTTAAAAACATGACCCTTTTTTACCACTTTCAACTCATGCTTTTCTGATGATGCTTTGGATTTTGAATGGGAAAGAGTGAAGTTGTTTTAAGTTCTCCTCAAGAGTCAGCCTGTTGTGCATTATGTTTTATTTAGAGGTAGTCCAGAAAAAGGTTGAGTTATAATGGTATTTAAAGAAGTGCCCAAAATCAGGACAACGTGAGGAGGAAAAAGAGAATGTAGGCAGATTGTTCTGTCCTGAAGCACAAAGCTAATTTTCCAGCAATTAAAAGTTTGTCATTTATAGTTTGAAAAGGCTAAATGATTGTTAAACAATAATTTGTGTTTATTTTGTAAAAGCTTTTGCAATCTTTATGGGGAAACAGATTTGACTATTTATTACAAACATAAATGATTTCTGTAGTACATAAAAAAAAATTGAAATAATCTTTTTTCAAGAAAGTAAATCACAAAATGTTTTTCCTACACTGAAAAAAAGTGATGACTTTATATAATGTAAATAATCCTGTCACATTTGAAGTGATCAGTTGACTAAAAAAAGTGAGTGAATCCATTGCCTTAAAATGAAGTAAATAAACTATGTGCTTAATTATTAAATTGAGGTAAGTCAACTTAACAGTTGTTATTTACAACAGCTTTACAGTGTAAAAAATGCCGGTTTCCAACTCAAATCGATTAAGTTAACTTGATCATTTTAACAAATGACAACTAACAACAACAAATAAAAAGTGGATTGAACATAACAGTTTTGCCCAAAAAACCCTAAACAAGTGTGTTGTTTTAACTCATTTACATAAGTTGTTTGAACAAGCAGTGAAAGTTTTTTTTTTATTATGCAGATATTCACACTTTAACATGTTATTTTTGTAGGTTTGCATCCAAATCTGAAGTGAGAGATAGGAGTTGTGTTCATTTATATCTGGTTGAGTTTTCAGTATGTTTAATTTTTGCAACTTGGCAACACAATACTCAAATTTCAGATTTTTATGCTGCATCTCATTTACATGTGCACATGCCATGTATCATTTAGTTGTATTAAACAGCAGTGGCCACTTGTCAGTTTTATTTCAGTAAAAAAAACATTGGGACAATAAACAAACTTCATTCTAATTGAAAAATGGCAGCAGATAAATGTCAGGCTTTGTTATCGCTGATGTGAGAACAAGATACATTATCATTTTGTATAATCTGATGAAGCTGTACTTCTTTAAGTGCCTTTCAGATTCCAATTTTGATCATGCCTTCATCGTGAATCTTGTTCTTTCACTTTTTTCTTTCCAGTCGTACACCTTTACACTTTCTTCACAATCCTTTTCTATTTATAAAAAATAACAGCAAATGTAAAATTGAAAAGCCTTAAAACAAACAAATGAATGGATGTTTTTGATACACATGTCACATAAAACTACCTGTAAATCCATCCACATATTTTTGGGATATTAAATAAACAAAATTCCTAATATTGTTGTATTTATTTATTTGGTAAATGATTAGTTAACTTATTTGCTATTATTGTTTATGGTTTGCTTTTGGACTATAGCCCCTGGCACATTCTTTGTAAAACTTGCCTCTGATTATGTTACTGGAAGCACATTGTGCATTTATCCTGATAACTTTAAATAACCATGCCAAAAAAATCCTAGGGGGAAATCAGTATAAAACATGACTATAAAATAAAAATAAATTAACATTCTGGAAGCAACATTACCTTTCTCGAAGATTATTATAAGAATGGGCATATAATATACATAATATATATATATATATACATTATATATATATATATATATATATATATATATATATATATATATATATATATATATATATATATATATATATATATATATATATATATATAAATATAAAGTTGAAGTCAGAATTATTAGCCTTCCTTTGAATTTATTTTATTTTGAATGAAATTTTTATTTTTTTATATTTCCCAAATGATGTTTAACAGAGCAAGGAAATTTTCACAGTATGTCTGATAATATTTTTTCTTCTGGAGAAAGTTTTATTTGTTTTATTTTGGCAAGAATAAAAGCAGTTTTAAATTTTTTTAAACACCATTTTAAGGTCAAAATTATTAGCCCCTATAGGCTATATTTTTTATAGTCTACAGAACAAACCACTGTTATACAATAACTTGCCTAATTACCATAACCTGCATAGTTAACCTAATTAACCTAGTTAAGCCTTTAAATGTCACTTTAAGCCGTATCGAAGTGTCTTGAAAAATATTTAGTCTAATATTATTTTCTGTCATCATGGCAAAGATAAAATAAATCAGTTATTAAAGATGAGTTATTAAAACTATTATGTTTAGAAATGTGTTAAAAAAATCTGCTCTCCGTTAAACAGAAATTGGGGAAAAATAAACAGGGGAGCTATATACAGTATGTACTCATATATGAACTTCAAGGCAAATGTTTGAAATATCAAACAAATATTAATCAGATATAAAACCCTAATGATTAACTTAAATATTCCTAAACAAAATTTTAAATTTAAACATTGAACCCTTCTACTTTCTCATCATGCTGTTATTCATATTTCTGCCTGTATCCCCATGGCAACGTGTAGGATTGCTCTCATCCAAATCATTGGGGAAAAAAAAAAAAAAAAAAATATATATATATATATATATATATATATATATATATATATATATATATATATATATATATATATATATATATATATATATATATCGTCAAATTGCACAGTTTTAAATGTATGGTCTGTACTTCTGTGAGGCAGCTTTTTTGTTGAGATAGGGATAGTCATCTTTAAGCTCAAAAACTGACCCTTTTTGTGTGTGCCGTTTTGTATTTTTCAGGAATAACAAGGTTTGATCTCCTGGGTGATTTTGGACGATTTAACTGGCTTGGGAATTTTTACATCGTACTTTCGTACAATCTTCTGTTTGCTGTGGTGACCACATTGTGTCTGGTCCGAAAATTCACATCTGCCGTGCGAGAAGAACTTCTCAAAGCCCTCGGTAATACTCCATTCAATTAGCACTTATTTCTTTCTGCACTGCATGCTCATGCCTTTGTGTGTATTTAACTGAAGCAATCCACAGTAGTTAAATCAATGTATACTGATGATGGGGCATATACAGTTGAAGTCAGAATTATTAGCCCCGCTGAATTATTAGCCCCTCTATATATTTTTTCCACAGTTTCTGTTTAACAGAGAGAAGATTTTTTCAACACATTTCTAAACATAATAGTCTTAATAACTCATTTCTAATAACTGATTTATTGTATCTTTGCCATAATAACAGCACAAAATATTTGACTATTATTCAGCTTAAAGTGCAATTAAAAGGCATAACTAGATTAATTAGGCAAATTAGGGTAATTAGGCAAGTCATTTTATAGCGATGGTTTGTTCTGTAAACAAACTAAAAATATATAGCTTAAGGTAGCTAATATTAACCTTAAAATAGTTTTTAAAAAATTAAAAACTGCATTTATTCTAGATGAAATAAAACAAACAAGAGTTTCTCTAGAAGAAAAAATATTATAGGAAATAATGTGAAAGTTTCCTTCCTCTCTTATACATCATTTGGGAAATATTTGAAGAAGAAAAAAAAGGAGGGCTAATAATTTTGACTTCGACTGTACATTTAAATGCTGTAATTGTGAGGTTTTAAAAGCCAATCTGTAAGCCCAAATGTTTCAAGTTTTTACCTCCTCGCTTTCAGGTCTGGATAAATTGAATCTGTCAACCAGCACGACGGATGCAGAGTCAGGGAAACATGTCGTCAACGGACATCAGAAAACTTTGTGAGGGGAAACGAATCATCCAGATATTCTGAAGCAAACATGTGTATGTGAATACAGTTGGCTTTTTCATTTTGAAATCCAGTCATGAAGCATTAAATATTAAATGGACAATAATTAGAGAAAGAAGTGTTTAGACTCGCTTAGAGTCGCCTGATGTGAATATACCCATCTCCTCATCCGAGCAGTCATATCTCTACTGTATATACCACTGTCCATCATTCATCACTTGACTTTAGTTAGCTTGGAAATACTTTCACATTATGAGGTAAGACAATGTTTTTTCTTACTGACCTGCACACCTAAATGCCTCTAGACTGCACCCTTCAATGGGAACTACTGGTATCATTATTCTTCACAATAAGCATTATCCTATATAATTTTCTCTAGTTTGGGAAATATTAAGCTGTTGGCCAAGCTGATCATTTTATGTGCAATGAAGTATGCAGTAGTCTCAATTAGGGCATATAATCTTTCTCCAAAATATTTTTGTTGACATTTTGTGCCCTCTTTAATCAGTATTTACTCGTTATGTGAAACACATTTAGGCCATAAGGGCCTAAAATAATACATAAAAAAAACTGGAGACATCTTTAATAAATGTGATGTCAAAAACCAAACCAAAATTGTAATCTAGAAAAGGGATTTTTTGCAGTGAAACGTGCTGTATGTAAACTCAAGTTAAGTTACAAATGTTCAATTGCCAAATTGACCAAATGAGACTCAAAACAAAACATCTTCAAGATAAAATGACCTGTAAATATTTCAAATATTCCGATCCATAGCCATCGAATTTCATGCTTGAATTTCCAAGTGTAAAATACGTTTTATATCTGGAAACTTGTCTGCCATTGAATATGTTTACATTGTTACAATGAAGAGAATTCTTATTTCGAAGTTGGTCAGTTACAAAAACGAGGAAGTATTATGATTTGATTCTCCTCATGCTTTACTGTGACAGTTCAGGTTTGTTGGATGTGACAGAATTAAGTAATGGGACTTGACATGGAAACTCCCCAAACATGTGCCTTACTCACAATATTGGCATATTCTGGGCAGCATTGGGATGTTATTAACCGTGGTGGCGCCTACCTGCCAAATGTCATGGGTAGGCAAGGTTCAAATGCTTAATATGTTATTGTGTTTACTTGAATTGGTTATGGCAGATTGTCATTGTTGTTAATATCACCTCACATGTTTTAAACACATTTAATGGATTGTAGAGTTCTGTCGTGAAATAGTTTAGTAAAGTCCACTTAATATTCGGGAAAAGGTGAGGCACAATCCTGGGATAAGCTTCCTGTTCCTGTTCTTAAATCTGCTGCTACTTCCTCCACAACCTTTTGATACTATGCTACGTGTACTACACAAACCTGGTTTTTCCCCTCAGTGGGAGAGCAGATAACCAGTAACGTACATCCTTAACCCTTGGTTATTGCTGCAGAGCTTGTTTGCCTTATTTCAGCCTTCAAATATCTAGTCTGTACCTCTAAGGAGATTACTATATCCACAAACATAGATATTTGTATGTTTTCCACTCAAAGTCATGCTATTGAATTACTGGTGTACGCAGATCAGAGGCTAAATCTGCTTTATGTAGGAACTTGTGTGTCGAGCCACATGGGTTCCAGTTTACACCTATTAAAGCTGAATGTGAAGTCAGCTGTCATTACGCATGTAGAAAGCAGCATGACTCGTTATTAAACGGGTCTCATTCGTCACTAGTAATGTCTCTTTTTACTTTTCATACTTCCAAATATTACATTGTTTAATGTACAATATAGTTTCCAAACATTCCCATCCTGAAGACAACTCCAACACCAAGAAAAAGAAACTTAGAAAACCGTTTAGGTCATTCCTGACATTTCTCTCTCTGAGTTTTAATGTAAAGCTATTTAGGATTCCTCCGTTTGGTCTTTAACTACAGCAAGCCTCATGGTAATGTAAATGATGTATATACAATATATTTGCTCTTTTTATTTTTGTAGGATGTAGATATGAAACAGGCTTTTGAGCCTCGTTCATACTATGTCGTTTTGTCGTCTCTCAGCATTTGTTTATTGTAAAACAACACAAAAACAAACAAAAAAAAATCACCTGTTGCCTTAAATAGGCTTATTTTGGGGCTTTGTTCTCCTGTTGTCCGCTATTGAGGAGACGAGCTGTGCATGTGATGTGTGAGACGTGCAAATGAGTGAAAGAGTGATTGTTAGTGCGTGTTCCTTTTTATTGACTGATTCACTGTGAATCCCTCGTGTGATTGTCTGTGATATGGCAAACCAAAACGACAGGGCGCATCTTTTAGAATCAACTGGCCAAAGGCAACAGAAAATATCAGGGCACTGATTTGGAATATTAATAGGATTCGCATGAGGGACGCTGAATTTAAAGGTCATTTAAAAATTGACACCTCAGTGGGTTCTGTGGTTCAATCCGATGTGTTATTTGCTGTTTTTATTGTCATGAGTTTAACAAAGTCAAATGTAAAAGAGAAGTTCTTCCTGTTGATTTGCACAGAATATTTTGTATGAGAATGTTTGGGAAATAAGTGTCATGTCAGTCATTTTGTCATTGAAGTAAACTTTTTTGTTTTTAAATGTTGTTTTTTCTGTTTGTGTGTGTATAAGTGTATCGAACTTGTAACGCCAGAAAATTTTGTGTCATTACCTATTTATCAATACTGTCTGTGGACGAAATGGAAAGATGCTAGTGTTTGGCTTTAATCAAATCGTTTTTTTTTTTGTTGTTGTCGTTTTTTTTGAGGGATGTTGCAGGGCCAGGCTTCACACCTGGTTCTTCTTTATGCAGCACGGGGACTGGAGTGTCAGTTGGTGTTTTGGGGTTACTCAAAATAGAGGCATTTGCGCTGATGTACTAGAATTAACTGTGAAAGAAAAAGAAGCCTAGTCATTCCACGTTCTGTTTTCTGCTTCAGGGGTTCATCTCTCTTTGACTTGGTGTGCACGACACCAAGAAGAGCTGTTTTTAGAAGATCTACAGAAATGTACTTTCAGTTCTTCTGTCTGTTTATCGGTGACAAACTAAAGTTGTCTGTCCAGACACCAAAACAGTGTCTGTTCATCCGCTTCTCTTCTTCAGCTCTAAGAGAAAGCTTAATTCTGTGTCCAGTGTGTTGTCTGTTTGATTCTTCTACATGTGTGAATGTACTTTCAGAATGTTCTCTCTTCCATTTGTAGTATACTTGCATATGTTTTGTGAAGAAAAACAATTCAGATTCTCTTTTGTTTATTTTGTAATTCACTTCAGTTTACAATAAAGTTTGTGACTTTTGACAGATTTCTTTGTGACTGTATCATGTCTTCTTTTCAGAGTCATGCTTTTAAAAAATATTTCAGCTAGTGTTTATTAGTATTTAGGGATGCCACGGTTCTCAATATAATATTGAACCGTACGGTACGACCTCCATAGTACAATACGCGCTTGTGAATTGCGGTTTTCTCGGTTTTGCATTTAAATAATTTACGTGCGTTTCATATCTCCCCGAATTGACTGTGTGTGCCTCTAAATCCATGAGCTGAGGTGAGGAAACTCCTCCCCGCGAGTAAATATCCAATCACTATGCTCTAAAGTTAGGGGGCGCTTGACCATCATTCCTCACTTTAACAGTGGAGTGAAGCGGCGGTGAAGTGAGGCTGAGGCAACAGTACAAGGAAGCGCCGGCGCTATGAGGCAACAGTACGAGAAAGCACCGGCGTCTTTCAAATCTGCAGTGTGAGGACATTTTTTGGTTTTGCTGGTAAGCATAATGCCAATAAAAGAAAAAACGGTGAACAAAAAATAACTGTGTGTAAGCATTGTATTACATCGTGACTGCACATCTGTCGCACCATCACCCAGCAATATCACTGTCTGAAGTTAATAAGAAGGTAATAAAGTCCTCCAAAAGGCAGTGTGGGTGTTTATTGCTAAAGATTTCCAGCCGTTTTCGGTGATTGGAGATGTGGGCTTTTGTCATTTTATAAAAGCACTCAATCCGCATTTTAATGTACAGTCTCACATTTTTTCAGCACAGAGATGATTAAGATGGTTTACTTATGTTTACTTAAGTACAAATATGTTTATTTGAAATGGCCAATTAATCTTTATTAAAAGGATTTTATGTGTTCGCCAGTTTGTACATGGGCTACTAGCAGCTGAGATTTCAGTGTTAATTTTTTTATACAATACACTAGGAACTAGTGTACTTTTCTTGGCTTTTAAGTAAAATAAAGTGAGTATTGAAATAAATCATTGTTATTTTTTTCTCCTTAACTTCTAACTGTTCCTATTGACTATAGAATTTTTTAGAAATCACACGTGACTCCATGAGAACCGAACCAAAAACCGTGTTAAAAAAAAAAACGAGGTATGTATTGAACCGTGGGCTAACAGTATTGTTGCATCCATAGTATTTACCCTTTATTTTTCAGACTACAAAAGGAGAAAATGAGTAGATAAACCAGCTTTACATTATTTAAAAAACACAGAAGGCTACCCTGCAACTTGTATTGTATTTTTCAGGTTTTGTGTGTTGGTATGATGGGGCTTGATGGAAAAACTAAGCAAAAAGTAGTGGCAGATTTGCAAACGGCAAACTGTGAAGACACTAGGGAGTGTAATGTTATATGTATTCACCGCGAACCGCACGGTGGTCATGGTTTAGTTTATGTGCTACATCAGGGGTGTCCACGCACGGTCTTGGAGAGCCAGTGACCTGCAAAGTTTTGTTTCAGCCCCAATCAGACACACTTGGGCTAGCTAATTAAGCTTTTACAAGGCAGTCTAGAAACTTCTATCCAGGTGTGTTTGAAGCAAGTTGGAGCTAAAATCTGCAGGACACTGGCCCTCCAGGACCGAGTTTGCACACCCCTGTGATCCATAGTCAAATACACACAGGCCAGATGTGCCAATCACTGGAGAAAGACCAAAGCAGTGCAAAAACCATTCACAAGGAATGTGTCTTAGCATCTGACAGCGCAAGTTAAAAAAAACTATAGAATACACAAGACTAGTCTCTAGTATAGTTTTGAATAGGAAAAAGTTTAACAGTCGATATGGTAAATAAAGCCCCGCCTAGTAGTACAAGATCCAATCATCAATGGCTACAGACTGACTTTTCTCTGGGCTCAG